TTTGTGGTGGCAATGGCGGCATTGACATCCTTGGGCACCACATCCCCGCGGTACAGCAGGCAGCATGCCATGTACTTGCCGTGCCGCGGGTCACACTTCACCATCTGGTTGGCCGGCTCAAAGCAGGCATTGGTGATCTCGGCCACCGAGAGCTGCTCATGGTAAGCCTTCTCGGCCGAGATGACAGGGGCATAGGTGGCCAGTGGGAAGTGGATGCGGGGGTACGGCACCAGGTTGGTCTGGAACTCCGTCAGGTCGACATTCAGGGCCCCATCGAAGCGCAGGGAGGCCGTGATGGAGGACACGATCTGGCCTATCAACCTATTGAGGTTGGTGTAGGTGGGCCTCTCGATGTCCAGGTTGCGGCGGCAGATGTCGTAGATGGCCTCGTTGTCCACCATGAAGGCACAGTCAGAGTGCTCCAGGGTGGTGTGGGTGGTGAGGATGGAGTTGTAGGGCTCCACCACAGCTGTGGAGACCTGTGGAGCTGGGTAGATGGAGAACTCCAGCTTGGACTTCTTGCCATAGTCAACGGAGAGGCGCTCCATGAGCAGGGAGGTGAAGCCGGAGCCGGTGCCACCTCCAAAGCTGTGGAAGACCAGGAAGCCTTGCAGCCCTGTGCACTGGTCAGCCTGGTGAGGAGAGACAAGGGTCTGCATGTTTTGTCTCGGCAGCAGTAGAAGTTACTCCTTCCTCTCTGTGGCCTCATGAGGACACTTGGGGGATTTCCTGCAGCAGAGCAGGAACCACCAGGATGGGTGACAGGGTGCCTGTGACCCCATCTCTTGGACAGTGACTCATGGGAATGGTGAATCCCCCAGGGAAACCCCTTGGCCCCCAGTGTGGCAGAGCATCCAGAAGCACCTTGCAGCGGGGCCAGGTGCCACCTACTTGGCAGCAGAATGGAGATGGATTTGGGGATAGCATTTGGGCATCGGGGAGCTGGGCAAAGCACCAGCCCCGGCACAGCCACACAGTCCAGGGTGGGCCAGTTGGAGCTGCCACTGCCTGCGCAGTCACTGGGACACAGGTCCCCAGCTGCACGCAGCTGGGTTCAGCTGCGGCAAGAGCCAAGTAGGAACAAAGACAGAATTGCACAGCTCAGCACCGCCGGTGCCTGGGGGCTGCGGCGCTGTGGAGCGGCTCCAACACCCCAGCGGCGCCGCGTCCCACTGCTGGCCAATGGCAGCTGCTGCAGAACAGGATTAACATTAATTAATATATTCAATCCAAACCCAGCCCGGCTAGTTCAGAGGGGAGGGCGAGACTGTGAACAGAGTCTTTGTCCTCAGCTCGCCACCCTCAAATCCCTCCTGTTCCTACCAGCTTGCGGATGCGGTCGAGGACCAGGTCGATGATCTCTTTCCCAATGGTGTAGTGCCCACGGGCGTAGTTGTTGGCCGCATCCTCCTTGCCCGTGATCAGCTGCTCGGGGTGGAAGACCTGCCGGTATGTCCCTGTGCGCACCTCATCTGTGGTGAGAGAGAGCCCCCCCGCCCCGTTAGCACCCAACATCCCATTAACATCACCCACCTCGCAACGTCCCCGCACTCACCGATCACCGTGGGCTCCAGGTCCACAAAGACAGCCCGGGGCACATGCTTGCCGGCCCCTGTCTCGCTGAAGAAGGTGTTGAAGGAGGCGTCCCCCCCGCCG